AGAACAGTGACGGAGGCAAAGACCGCGAAAAAAATTAACGAAATATAAATGAAAACAAAAAAAAACGACTTACCGGAGATGATGAAAGCACTGGTAAGAACGACGGAGGATAGGAGACAAACTAAAACACCGAGGATCTGTAGATTCTTCGTCATCGTGGGAGAAGAAGGAGGAGCAGAGAGTCGAAATCGCCTCTAGGGTTTTTTCGGGGAGGGAAATAAACTGAAATGACGGTTTATTTTTCATCCCTCAATTAAATCCTATTTTCCAAATTTTGATTTTTTTGTATTTTTGATATATTTATGTATATATATTATATATTTAGTGAAAATTCCTCAGACTAACCTTTAAGGTTAATGAAATGACAAACCTAACCTAACATATTGAAGGGCTTACTAGACTAACCTTATAAAGTTGGTTTAAGTCCATTTTATCCAGATGTTGAATATTATTACGAAAATGCCATTATAATTTTTTTTTTTTCGAAAAACTTTAATTTCGAAAAAAACTTTTTAAAAAATCAAAATTTTTTTTGACGAAAAAAAACATTTTTTTAAAACGAAAAAAGCAAAAAAAAAAAACAAAACCAAAAACTAAAAAAAAAAACCCTAATTCATCTTCTTCTCTCTCTCTTTCTCCTGCGCCGTTTTTTTTTCTCCCATGGAGCTGCTCTTCTTCATAACTTGGCAGCCTCCATTTTAACGCAGCTTTCTCTTCACAGCTTTCCTTTTGTTTCACAGATCCACACAGATCTTGCCTCAATCGCCGTTCAGAAACTTGTTCAGGTTTGTTTTTTTTCTCATATATCCTCATTTTTCTTATTTTTTCTTCTTTCTTCTTTGTCTTCCTCTTCCCTTCGTCTTCCTCTTTCCCTTCGTCTTCTACTTTCTGTTTGGCGGAGGAGGAGTTTTACTGTTGGTGTTAGAGATCTCGGAAATATTGGCACGACTCTTAAGCGGCGTTCTCGCCGCATCGCGCACAACCGCACTGGACAGATGTTGTTTCGAAGAAATGGTGGTGTCCCGGAGGTTAACGGCGGCGTAAGTTTTTTTCTGTAAAACCCGCAACCCTAATTTTTTTTGTTTCAGGTAAGTTTGGTAGATATATTTGGAAAACGATAAGTAGTTTGGTAGATTTATTGTATTTTTTTGTTGTAAAGTTCATAATATGTGATGGTAGATTTTTTTGAAAAACGATATGTAGTTTGTTAGATTATTAGTTATTTGATGGTAGATATTTAGAAAACGAAATATGGTTTGGTAGATTTATTAGTTATTTGATGGTAACATTATTTTAGAGTAAAAACGATGTCATTTGGTAGATTTATTAGTCATCTAATGATAGACTTATTTGTAAAACGATGTGGTTTGGTAGATTTATTAGTCATTTAATGGTAACTTATTTGAAAAATGATTTGTGTTTGGTAGATTTATTAGTTATTTATGGTAAATTTATCAGTCGTATATATTTGAATTTTATAAACGAATGACAGTATTTGTTTATTTTTTTCTGACAGATTATGGGCTTTGCCATAGTGAACAAATCTTTGATGGGATATCCAGTATCGATCCGACATGTTTTACTATGAATTGTAGATTTGCATTTGGTAGATTTGTTTTGAAATAATGGTAGATTTATTATTAAATTGATGGTATATCTGTATTTTGAATTTGTAAAAATGATAATTAGATTTTAAATGATAATATTGTTGTTTTCAAATTATATTTGTCGTAAAACATTGACCCAGACATTTTCACATTTTTACCATATTTGCTAGTAATGTTATTATTCAATTTAATTTATTATTTACTTTCACTATGATATATATCATAACTGATAAATTTTAATCAAAACACATGACTAAATCATTTGACATGTGATGTTGTAAGAGTTTATGTAAATAGAGTTAAATGTAACAAATATCAAAAATAAAAATAAAAAAAATCATTAAGTTAAGAGATGGTTATTACAGATATGATATATATGTTCAAAGTTAATATGAAAAGCAAAGTTATCTTAGAGAAAATATATATCATAGAAAAAATATTCATGTTAGAAATTTTTGACCATTGATTATGGCATCTATATCGTAAATAGTAATACCAATAATCATTTGTGATCGAATCACAGTTAACCGACATAATCTTAGCAAACTCATGCAAAGAAAACGTTAATGGTAACAAAACCAACTCAAATATAACCATGGAACAAGTCTACCATATGTATGAAACTTGTTTAACATACGACACTTCAAAACAAGTCTACCACACCTCTGGTTTTTTCGTAGATAGGACAATACTTTTAGGACAAAAAAGTAATTTCAATCCATAAAGTCAAATCTCTGCCAAACATTAACAACTAAGTCTACCTCAAGCATGAAAAATAACTCTACCATATATACAAGTCTACCATAAGCACCTCATATGTCTACCAGATCGAGGTTATCTTTGTAAATACCAAACTTAATTAGTCTACCACATGATTATTATAAGAAGTCTACCATACGTACGATAACTCTACCAGATTACATAAACTCTACCAAACAAACAAACATATCTACCAATATTCTGTAAGTCTACCTCATGTAACAAATAATCTACCACTCACATGAATAAATTTTACTTGAATTTAAATCTACCACAAAACAAACATATCTACCACAAAACAAATAAATCTACCAACATTCTGTAAGTCTACCTCATGTAACAAATAATCTACCACTCACTGGAATGAATTTTACTTGAATTTAAATCTACCACAAAACAAACATCTCTACCACAAAAGCGAAAAATCTACCAACAAGATATAACTCTACCATAAAACAGATATATCTATCATCACGTATTGACACATAAATCTACTGCCAAAGGATATAAGTCTACCAACTCAGAAAATAAATCTACTTCATTGTCAATAAATCTACCGAGAAAGTCAACTATGCGAGAAAGTCAACGCTTTCTTTAACAAGTCTACCAACACCTTTGACAAGTCTACCATTCATAACAACAAATCTACCGAAACATAATAAATCTACCTCTCATCGTCAAAACTCTACCAAGATAAGTCTACCAACATTTGTAAACTCTACCAACTCTCGAATAAATCTACCATCGACCTAATAACTCTACCGACAAAATTTTTGCGTTGACCAAAATTTGATAAGTCTACCGTCAAAGCCTGGTAGACTTATCAAATTTTCAGCGTTATAATCTGCCTACATGGCATTAAAAAAGTAATGACATTTTCGTAATTAGGTTTTTTTAACAAAGGCAAAAAGGGTGTTTTGGGTATGCTAGGTTAATTTTGTAAAAAAAATAAAAGTGCGCCAAACAAATAATATAGATACTTTCTAAGGTTAGTGTAGTGATCCTCTCATATATTTATGTATATAGGTCTCATATATTATACATTTATGTATATATTTATGTATCAATTAAATCCTATTTTCCAAATTTTGATTTTTTTTTTGTATTTTTGATATATTTATGTATATATATTATATATTTATGTATATAAGTCTCATGTATATTGTATATCTGTGTATAATCATGTATTTACGAAATTTAAAAAAAATCAACAAAAACAGTTTTTTTTTATGTAAGGGACCTTAATGTCTATTTTCTGCTGATAAGGTTAGTGTAGCAAAAATGTAAGGAAGCTAGGTTACATGAGCAAACTGACCATTTTATAAAATCATTCTAATCAATATTCTCTTGAATAATTTGTAAGAAAAAAACATTATAGACTTATGGTCAGGGTTTTCACTAAAAAAAAGCAGCCAATTTTTGTCACGCTAATATCCGTCACTATAAAAGTTTAAATTCACTGTGAAAATCTATTAACAATAACAAAAAAAAAAAAATTTGTAACAAGGGTTAAGAATAACAAAAACAACTTTTGTTCCGTCTTTAATTGTTCGTCGCTAGATAAAGTCATGAAACTAATAAAATAAGTTGATCCTGTACTAAAAAAATATTGAAAATACAGTATCGAACAAGAGATGCAAATACCATTGAAAATTCAACGTTGGCGAGAGTTATTATATATATGTAATAATTGGCAAGTGAAAAAAATTTATTAATTGTAGGAAACAAGAAACTTGCGCAAAGCCGGGGTACTTTATCTAGCCTTTGTAGAATAGAAACACAAACATTAACGCACGTACCAAAATAATAAGAGCCAGATTTTGCAGAAAAGAAGATAGGCAATTAAATTCGATTCTCCAGAGATTTTGGGATTAGTATAAATTCGTATGAACTTTAGTTCACTTGACCAAAAAAAAAAAGAACTTTAGTTCATAATGAAATGATCCTATTACCAAATAACAGAGTTCTAGTTGTGAAAGATTTATTAGTTTATTAATAAACATTGATTACAAATGCTGAAAGCGAGTTCAATAACAGAGAAAAAGAGGAAATATATATAATTTACGAAAACAACAAATTGAGGTCCCATATTATATATATATAGCGATCTTCAGATCGAAATACTATACACATGTAAAATGTGACACTACAAGAAAACGGAGATGTACCGACTCAATCTTGCGACTACATATGTAGTCGTTAAATATACCGACTACATAGCGACGGAGTTGCGACGTTTTTGCGACTAAACAAAATTCGTCGCAAATCGGTCGCCAATGTGCGACTAAATCTTTCAGCCGTAACATAGTCGCAAATTTACGACTAACTTACGACGTCACCGTGGTCATAACACTGTAGTCGTAAAAAAGTCGGCACTTTGCGACTAATTTGCGACATTTGCGGCGAATCGTAAAATTAAAAACACGTGTATCATATTTCGTGGTTGTTGTACCTAATTTTAGCGACTAAATGTTAGTAGTCGCAAAGTCGTTGCAATTCAGACACATTTTAGTCGCAAAATTATCTATATATACAAGTTTCACAAGTTTCTTCTCTTCATTCGGATATATCATAAACAAAAAACAAGAACTTAAAAAAAAAATTACAGAGAGAACAAAACGAGTTGTCAACAAAATGTCGGGAACTTTCAATCATAGAGAGTGGATGTATAACCGGATCGATGAAGAGACGGAGAATTTCTCGACTGAGTTCGTAGAGGGAGTGGAGCAATTCATGAATTTTGCAAATAACCAGCCTTTAGCACAAAACAATGGCGATAAGTTTCACTGTCCTTGTAGTGTTTGCAAAAATGACAAATTTATGCCGGGAAGAAGAATTTGGAATCATCTCTTTAGTAAAGGATTCATGCCGGATTATTATATTTGGTATAAGCATGGAGAAGAAATCACTATGGATTATGGAACTAGTTATGCTAATACAAATCATTTAAGTGGGAGTGAAGAAGATATGGGCAATGTAGTAGAAGATAGATATGTGGATATGGTGAATGATGCATTTCCTGGTAACTATCATCATGAGCATGATGATAACTATCAGAATGTAGATGATAGTTACCAGAATGATCAAGAACCGATACGTAACCATCCCGAAAAATTTTACAACTTGTTAGAATCTGGGAAAAAACCATTATACGATGGTTGTCGTGAAGGTCACTCGCAGTTATCCTTAGATGCTCGGTTCATGCAAAATAAGGCAGATTATAACATGAGTGAAAAGTCTGTGGATGCATGGGCATCTTTGTTTACAGAGTATTTGCCAGATGGAAATCAGGCAACGGGATCACATTACGAGACAGAGAAATTGATGGGAAATTTAGGTCTCCCATATCATAAAATTGATGTTTGTATCAACAATTGTATGATCTTCTGGAAAGAGGATGAAATGTGGGAGGAATGTAGATTTTTTCAAGCACCAAGATATAAGCCTAACGAAGGACGGCGATCACGAACAAGAATACCATATAGTCGTATGTGGTATCTTCCTATTGGCGACAGACTGAAGAGAATGTATCAGAGCAAGAAAACAGCAGCGGCAATGAGATGGCATGCAGAGCACCAGTCAAAGGAAGGAGAAATGTGTCATCCTTCTGATGCTGCAGAGTGGAGATATTTTCAAGATATACATCCCCGATTTGCCGAAGAACCCCGTAATGTTTATCTTGGACTATGTACAGATGGGTTCAATCCTTTTGGCATGTCTCGCAATCATTCTTTATGGCCTGTTATCTTGACTCCTTATAATTTACCCCCTGGTATGTGCATGAAGACAGAGTACTTGTTCCTTACAATATTGAATTCTGGGCCAAATCATCCGCGAGCTAGTCTAGATATCTTCCTCCGACCACTTATCGAAGAGTTGAAAGAGTTATGGACAGTTGGAGTTGATGCGTACGATGTATCTTTAAATCAAAATTTCAATTTAAAAGCTGTGCTGATGTGGACGATAAACGACTTTCCAGCGTATGGTATGTTATCAGGATGGACGACCCATGGTAGATTGTCTTGCCCAATTTGTATGGAAGACACAAAGGCTTTCTATCTGCCAAATGGAAGGAAGACGTGTTGGTTTGATTGTCACAGAAGGTTTCTTCCTCAGGGTCATCCACTAAGAAAAAATAGAAAAGACTTTTTGAAGGGCAGACATGCTATGAATGAGTGTCCACCAGAGTCTTTGAATGGTGAGCAAGTTTATACCGAGCGAATACAAGCTGTCAAGCCAGCGAAAACGTGGGAGTGTGGTGGAAACGGTCATGAAAAAAAGATGCCTGGATACGGAAAGTGGCATAATTGGCACAAAGAAAGCATCTTTTGGGAGTTGCCGTATTGGAATGACCTTAATCTCCGTCACAGTCTTGATGTGATGCATATAGAGAAGAATTTTTTTGAAAATATCATCAATACTCTTATGAGTGTGTTGGGGAAATCTAAAGACACAATCAAGTCAAGATTGGATATAGAACAATTCTGTGATCGAGCGCATTTACATGTTGATGCAAATGGTGTAGCTCCTTTTCCTGTATACACATTGGAAGTAGCTGACAGAAGAAAATTATTGGAATGTGTGAAAATGGTACAGTTCCCTGACGGTTATGCGGCAGACTTAGCGAGTTGTGCTGACATAGAGAATGGGAAATTTTCAGGCATGAAGAGTCATGACTGTCATGTTTTTATGGAGCGACTAATTCCATTTATCTTTGCAGAACTCTTAGATCAAAATGTCCATCATGCATTATCAGGTACTTATTAATAATTCTAAACAATTATTTCAGTTAACTATATATGATTATACATATTATTTTCAATTAACCATTTGATGCTGATTTCTGCAGGGATTGGAGGGTTCTTCCGTGACTTATGTTCTAGGACTTTGCATAAAGACCGTGTCCAACTTCTAAAACAGAACATAGTTCTAATCTTGTGCAATTTGGAAAAGATTTTTCCACCATCGTTTTTCGACGTGATGGAGCACTTGCCTGTACATCTCCCTTACGAAGCTGAATTAGGAGGGCCTGTGCAGTATAGGTGGATGTATCCTTTTGAAAGGTTTTTCAAGAAGTTGAAGGCAAAAGCAAAGAACAAAAGATATGCATCAGGGTCAATTGTTGAATCATATATCAATGATGAAATAGCTTATTTCACAGAGCATTACTTTGCTTCAAATATTCAAACGAAATCCAGGTAAACACTTAATTGTGTTTAAACATGTAATTTATGTCTCACATGCCCACTTTGACTAATGTGAGCTAGTTTTGACTTGTTTGGTCAGGTTAACAAGATTTAATGAAGGTGAAGTCCCCGTATACGATGTCCCTGGAGTTCCTGATATATTTACTCACATAGGTCGTCCTAGTGGGCAAATGCATGAAATATGGCTTTCAGAGAAAGACCATCAAATCGCACATGCTTATGTTTTGCGAAACTGTGAATATTTTCGGCCATTCGAGAGGTATGTAAGCTAGTTTGCAAAATTAATGTTTTCAAAAAATCTAATACGATTTTTCTTATCAAAATTGGTGTAAAATGTAGTATGCTCGAAGATTACATATCCGCAAAATATTCGGGACTCTCTGAGAAAGAAGTTTCTGCAAAAAGAGCCGATGAATATCCTTCATGGGTGAAAGAATATGTAAGTCGAACTACTTTTATAACTATGTGTATATTATATTGAAAGATATTAATCTTTTGGTATACCTGCAGGTAACTTACTGGAATGCTACACATCCTTTTCCTGTGTGGGTTCAAGAAATGGTGCACGGCCCCGTGAATAGGGCCAAAACCTGGCCCATTTACTTCACAAGAGGATATTTGTTTCATACGAAAAATCATGGTATGGGACGAAAGACATGTAACTATGGAGTATGTGTTCAAGGAGAAAACTATACTGATTCATCTGATGATGCTGATTTCTACGGGACTTTAACTGATATCATACAACTGGAGTATGAGGGGATGGTAAATTTGAAAATCACACTTTTTAAGTGTGACTGGTATGATCCTGTTATTGGTAGAGGCACCCGAAGGGGCAATGGCGGCATCGTTGATGTTCTTTCATCCAGAAGATACAATAAGTATGAACCATTTATTCTAGGTATGTATGTTCTCCTAACAAAAAAAATATATTTATTATAAGATATACATATTGATACTTCTAATATTTGATATTGCACAGCTTCGCAAGCAGATCAAGTTTGTTTCATCCCGTATCCATACCGGAAGAAACCAAAGCAATTGTGGCTCAACGTTCTTAAAGTCAATCCGAGGGGAAATATTTCAGGAGAATATGAGAACAAGGAACCAGTTATTTTGCAACAAACATCTGATGATCCGGTACTGCTGACAACAATTGAGGATCTCGTAGTCGACAACCGAGTACACGGAGTGAACCCAATAAATCTTGATTTCGATGTTGGAGATGCAGAACCAGATGATGAATTCCAATGTAATTTATCGTCTTCGGATGATGATGATGAAGAAGAAGAAGACCTATACTAAAACATTATGTAATTTATGATGCAATATTTTTCATATTTGGCTTAACTATTATGTTTAACATCTAAATAATGTGATATCATTTGAAACATATGTTAGCCACTGATTTGCGACTAAATAAAGTGTTAGCCACTGATCTGCGACTAAATAAAGTGTTAGCCACTGATTTGCGACTAAATTACGACTAATAGGCCCATTTAATTAACGACAATTTTAGGCCCAATTAATTACAAAGCCCGCCTAATTTTCCCAAAATCTAAACCCAAATTCCCCCAAATTTTCAATCTTTTTTTGTTTCCCCAACTTTCCCAAAATTTCCCCAAATCCCCGAGCCAAATCCCTAGAATTTTCCTATCTCTTTCCACATTTCCCCCAATCTCCCCAAATTCCCGAAATCAATCTAACTCTCTTCCGATAAACCCTAACTCTCTTCCACCTCTTCCGATTACTCTACTCTCCGATGGCTGCCGGCAGGAAGAAACAACGAGTAGGTCCACCCGTCACAGCAAAGAAGGTCACCGGCGACTGCTCGAACGCCAGGACTCCGTCGCCTCTGCCGGGTCGCTATGAGTTCACTCCTGCAACCGGAACCCGCTCTCCACCACCACTCGTCCCCTCCTTCTCACAGCCGACGCATGTGAGAGATTACCCACCGCCGACTCAGCTTTTCCAGTCCTCACCCAGTCCACAGCGAAGATCCAACGACTCTCAAGCTCACACCAGCCAACGCAGCTCTCATCAGCCTCACCGTCGGTCCTCTAAAGACCCTCAAGCACGCTCTCCACTCTCGCAACAACGAGCATCACCAGTCTCTCAGCAACGGGCATCACCAGTCTCTCAAGAACGAGCATCTCCAATGTCTCAAGAACGGACCTCTCAATCCTCTCAAGCTCATAATGCTCACACTGAAGAAGCTCATAGTGCTGGTGACGAAGCTTCCTTTCAAGAAGTGTCTGCGAATCTCGATGAAGACCAGCTGAGTTTCCTTAATGACTTGCTTGCGAAGCCTGGCCGTGAAGCATATACAACAGTTCTCTCTCCCATTCCCATGCCGAATACAACGTGGTAGGTCTCTTGTACTTAGTTTAAATTTGTTTCCTTTGTTTAACTTGCTTGATGTCTCTTGCTTTGATGTGTTTGTAGATTTATCTGTTTATGTTTTATGTGTGTATGTGTTTGCAGGTTTGGTCGGGACAAGTCAAAACTTACTCGAAAGATAACCAAAATCTTCACAAACAAGTTTGATGGTGCATTCTACAGCTGGACTTGTGTGCCGAGGGATAGACAGGAGCGATACTTCATTGAATTCGCGGTAATGGATCTCTTTCTCATTTACATTTTTGTTTAGTTATTCAATACTTCAAATAAGCATTGTTCACATACTTATACACATCATCTTCTCTTTTGTTATTTTAGAAAACACATACTTGGGATCCGCTCATCACTGGTGTTGTTCAAGAGAAGTTTGAGAGCATTTGTCAGCAACGCATGAAAGACATGGTGAGCACCTGCAGGACTTCTCGCGTGCAGCCCAACTGGATTCGCGATACGCTATGGAAAGAGATGAATGAGTACTGGGATACTGAAGAAGCGAGAGAGAAGAGTTTGACCACATCAGCGGCTCGTTTGTCTGATCGTGATGGTCTTGGTCCACACGTCCATCTCTCTGGCCAGAAGTCCTACCTGCAAATACAACAAGAGATGGTAAGTTACTCTTTTATTATTCAATTATCTACCTCCTTCATTTGACTATTTTGATTTTGTCATTGCAGGAAGAAGAACTCGGAAGACCCGTGAGTCTTGGTGAAGTTTTCATCAAGACTCATACAAGGCCGGATGGGACTTATGTTGATCGCAAAGCTCAGAAGGTCGCTGAAAGATATAAGGCAAACTTGGAAGCCAAGTTTGCTGACTTGTGGACAGAAAACTTCGGCACTTCTGATGGTGCATCTCGGCCAGAGCTATCCATAGAAGAGGATAATGACCTCTTTCTTCAGGTATGATCTTCTTTTTCTTTGCTTTTTGCGGTTTCAAATAATGTTTATGTGTTTGGTATTCAAATGCAATTCTTTTATGGTTTGTGTGTTTGGTATTCATATTGATAGTTTCCTTATGCTTATTGTTTTTGTTATAGAAATTTAGTGCTGTTTTTTTTATTTCTTACTGCAGTCCACTTTCACAAATGAAAGAGGCATTCCTTATGGAGTAGGAAGCCTCTCTCAGTCGCATGTCAATGGAAAACGGAAGTGCACTGGGAGCACTGCAGCATTCAACACTCTCCAAGAACAACTCCAAGAAGCTCAACGCCAGATTACGGAGCAAGCTGCTGAAAACGCAAGGCGTGAAGCAGAGCATTCCAAAGCAGCAGCTGCACAACAAGCCAAGATCGAGAAGCTGTCTTTGCTTGAGAGGTATTTGCGTGAAACAGATCCAAGGTTCTTGGACTTTGTGGCTGCTCAATCTGCTCCATCCTCTGCTCCAACAGTTGCTGAAACCGGTGCTCCAGCCATTGCTCCAACCATTCCTCCAACCAGTGCTCCAACCGCTCCTATAGGTTTCTCATCTCTTTCAGCTTCCTTTTGAACATCTCCTTTGTTTTTTTTCAACCATTTAGAACTTCTTACCAATGGTTGTGAATAATGTAATATCTTCTTTTGTGAACAATGTAGTAAGCCTTTTTTGTTATGTTGGAAATGGTAATTATGTTTTTATTTTGCATTGTATAATATTTTTTGCAAAACAATAGGGTTTAACATACCATATTAGCATTTTGAGAAGCAATACCAATTTGTTATTACGTTCATAAATTTAGTCGCAATAGAGTCGCAATCACGTCGTAATTCTGTCACAAAACAGTCGCTACTTAGTCGCAACTTGAGGCACTAACAGTCACACCTTAGTCGTTAAATTTTGCGACTGTTTTACAACTACGACTACCGACTTTTTAACGATTACATAACAGTCACAAAAGGGTCGCAAATATAGTCGCAATGTAGTCATAACCATTTCCGACCATTTTACGACTGCTCCACGTCACCAGAATTTCGTCGCATATTAGTCATAATTTCACGACTGAATTACGACTATTATATTTAGCGACGAATAATTTACGACTACAGAAAACAGTCGTAACTCAGTCGTATATAGAGATTTAGCGACTGAATTCCGATTCATGTTGGTGTCGTAATTCACCTGTAATCTTGTAGTGTGAAGTCTCTCGCTTACCATTTGTTGAGAATATAATTAAAGAAAGAAATGACATAAAACCTTAACATAAGGAGGACAAGGCCGAAGATATCTTCAAGAAAACTGAGCCTGATAAAGCTAAGCTTGTACGTGGTCCATGGTGGATATCGAGCTTCTAGCTCAACGGCCAAGTTTCCTTCCACGACCGCTTTCTCGTGGCTGAAACATTCGTAAGAATATTGACCATGGTACCTCCCCATGCCACTCTCTCCCACTCCTCCAAATGGTAACGCTTCGCATATACTCTGTATTTTTTCCAACATTAATAACTAAACGCAGAATTAATCGTGCCTATGATGTAAATTTAGAATCATTTGTCTCTTATTTTGTTAGTTGATTTGGAGGTACCATTTGTATTATAGAAGGTTAAAAGATAGCATTGCTTTAAGCCCTTTAGCAAAAATTAAAATAAAGTAGGATTGGTTTAGATTAGTCCCATCCAAAGTTTCTGAGACTTTTTATAATTAACAAAAATATAAGACCAAATGTTTCAAAGTTAGTAATGTCCATTTTAACGTGTATATGTCATATGTATATACCTGGATCATGACATCGTTGAACGTGACACTTCCTGAGGATGTTTCCGATAAGATTCTTGTTTTGAGGTTGTTGTCTTTGGTGAATACGTACAGGGCAAGAGGCTTTGGTCTTGACCTGACGAACTCTACACTTTCTTGGATGTCACGTAACTGACTGAATGCAAGAATCAAAGACATCATATATTAATCTGATAAAAAGAAAACCAATTGTAGTAGGTATAACTCTAACTGCTTACTGTAATAATTGGAAGATCGGTCCAAAAATTTCTTCTGTCATGATCTCAGAATCAAGAGGAGGGTCCAACAAGATTGTTGGCTCGATATCTATTCTATTAAAACAGAAGCACATTTAGTGCTTGCATCCAAACACATTTAAATTTTTTTAAAAAAATTATTTGGATTTACAATTATCTTAATTTATTATAATATCATTTAAAAACACATTTTTTAATAAATTTAATTTCGAAAATTAGATATTAATTTAGATAACTAAAGATTTCCTTAAATATAGGTGATATTTAATTTAAATTCAAACTATTTATTTTTTTAATTAAATTTAAATCTCAACATAGATATTAATTTAAATTACTTTAGACTTCTTTAAATATAAGTTAGATTAAATATGTTAGATTTAATTTAATATTTAAAATTCAAATAATATTTACAGAATAACACTATGATTAATGAATACGTTATTTTTTTCAGTCATATTCAATCAGACTAAAATTTTACATATTAAAAATTAATATTATATAGTAATATGATGAAACAGGTTAGATTTTTTTTTATAATTGTGGTGTTATGCGGGTTAGGTTATCAAAACATGCAAGATATTAAGATAAAAATTATTTTAAAATTAGTAAATATTTATATTATATAGTAATATGAACGGACGAATTAGAATTATAGTTTTATAACCACGGTTCCTTTTAGATTAATAGAATAAACGAATTAAAAATATGTTTTTATAATAACAGTTATTTTTTATTAATAGAATAACTGGATTAGATATATGTTTATATGATTGTGGTCATAATAGTACTAGAAAACAAATTTAAAACACAAATTATATCTAAACATATAAATTAATCTTTGTCATTTCTTAGAAAAATTATATTTATAAATAAAACATAAACTATATTACAAATTTTGATTATAAAATATTTCTGTGTGGATACACGAGGTAAAATCTAGTACCTGTTAAAAGTTACAACATAA